TGCTCATAAGGTTGCTGAAAACCCCTCGACAGCTCAAGTTGCATGAGCGAAAAGCCAGGCATGAAGATGAACGCAAGCCAGCTACCAGTCGCCTATCAGGCCTACCGGACTACCGAGAGCGCGTGTTCCCTCAGACACCTTTTCGCTTGAACCTCATGGCTAACACGCCCCACCCTTGCCTAATGGATCAGCGCTCAATCTCCATCGGTGCTGTTAGTTATCCCTTTGTCGGACTTCCACAATGGGAGAGCAGCTGACATGACAAGCAGCGTCAGCCAGCGATAACTCATTAGGCCGAATTTTGACGAATTAACTGTCAATTCAGATCTCTAAGTATCTCCATCGTGTCCAGAACATTGGGTAACCGAGGGATTAAAGCTTGCTCCCTCTTAATCGCCAGTTTAACGTTTGTTTAATGTGTATCACATACCCTTCCTAACGGTTCACTGCCGAGCAGGTTGATGGAAACTCCCTGAAAGTCCAATATTGATTTGGAACTCACAAGGCGAGCGTGATCCAAATACTTCAACTATTATTTACCCTCGAGACAGCTTAGTGGTTAAGAAGCGAACTCCGTCGTGGTTCGTGGCTCCTGTCTGGGCTTGAGCAACTTGGTAGTAAAAAAATAAATCATTCAGCTGTGGCACCCTTGCGATGCCTAGCTACCACGTCACCAGAAGGAAGCACGAGAGCTGGGATACTGCCAGGTTGCCCATGCCTAGACAGCAGAAGTCGATAGGCAGAGGTCGGATTCGAATCGGTCAGTAAACTTGCGCTCTAACCATTGAGCTTTCTCGCCCTATCTCAGCCCTCGTGCTTCCTTTGGGTAGCGTGGCAGCTAGGCACCGATAGAATGTCACAGCTGAACACTTTTACTCTCATCTCAACCACAATTTGAGTTCATATTATATTTATAACTTAATTGCTGTTTCATGAAACTTATACTTTTTCACTCAAACACACGGATTGCTCCTGCATGCACCACACTCTGTCCAACAGGCTTCTCATTGCCATATCGCATTCAAAAGATGTTCCTGCATAACTTAGAACTGAATCATCTCGTGTCTGCCCGTTTAGGATTGGTTTCTCTCGTTGATCAGTTTTTGGCGGTCTCCTCTAATGCATCCACTGAAAGGCGAGGCGAAATCCCCAGCAATATAAACGAAATTCTACCTAACTACGACCCACCAACCGGCTGCCAATGAAATGCAGTATGAAGAATACCAATAAGGTTCCAATTTCCGTATTGCTTCTGCTCCCATTCAACACAGAACATTCGAGTTCCCAAGTACTCACTCAAGGAAACTCGATCTACTGGATTCACCATTAGCATCGAATGGTATGCATGAAACTCAAACGTGCATGCTTGGAGTTGCGCAACACACATTCGACTAGTTCATTGATCTGAGCGACAACTACCGTTTGGCTGTGCGATGCTTCCGGTTGTAATCACAGCGTTCCCTTTCTTGTTTATTTATCACCGACGAGATAATTTCAGTGCATTTGAGCGGTTTTTGCCCACAACAATGTTGTCCCAATCGCCAGATGCCTTACGGTAAAGGTTTCTTGGTTATAAACACCGAGTCGACTTCTTCCGAGTCGATTACTGCAAACTCTTTACGGGAATGTTGTACTGGGATCGCTGACCGGAGTGATAGGATTTCTTCTTCTTTTCTTCATTTGCACCTGTGTTATATCTGCTGATTCGCCAATCTGAGGTATCTGCCGCTGACCCGCTCCAGAGCCTAGTTGCCGAAAAAAGACTCACAGAAGGGAACGCAACAGCTATATTCCGAACACGCGAGTGCGAGAGAGTGAGTGCGTGCGAGCGCGAAAAGTACAACGTTCTCATTTATTGGAAGGACACTGTCTGAACTCCGTCCAATGCTGACGCACACGGTCTGGCTTTGGTACGAAGCTGTAACGCGCTGCATATTGCGGGGGCGTTGTCTGACCTTGATCAACAGTGACTCGCGCTATCTGGGTTTGATACAAGGCTGTGAGGCGCTGCATAGTGAGGGGGTGTTGTCTGTTTGGTCAACATCTAGCGTAGTTGAGAGTCTCGGTAAATTTCGGGCATTCAGTGGTTGCTTTCAGGAAGCTGACCCTCCTGATAACCTGAATGTTGAACATGAACGATGTTTAGCGTCAGAAACACAAAAATGAGGGGAGGGGGCTCCTGCTAACCAAAAGGCACGTGGGATGAAGCGTCAAAGTGTTCCTTGTACGGTGCAGCACCAAGAGAGGAAGCAGCCAAGTTCCAGCTGCGGAACGGATTGGCGCTGTAGAATGTACTTGTATGAATAACCTACACCATTTACTGTCCGCTCTGATTAGTTGTTTTATGCCAAGAACGCCAGCTGAAATTATCAGATTTGTCGGACGTGACAGGGACCGTAGCGACGCGGTGGAATGTAACACAATACCATGTTTCGCAAATTTACGGTTCAGATAGAAAACCATCGCATTGGTAAAAAACACAACTCTGAGACTGAACAAACTTTTTTCTGGAGATTTCGTCCTGTAAGTGAAGCCAATCTATGCTGAAAAGCCGAGAAGCACTGTACAGCTGATTCATCCTTATTGGGAATCATCAGCAGTGCGCATCTCACGAAACTCCGAAGAGTCTCGAACCCGCGACCTCCCGGCTAGTAGTTTGAACACTTAACCGTTCGGCCACGAGTGGCTTAAGTGTTAAGTTCAAGTGTTAAGTGTTAAGTGTTAAGTGTTCAAACTACTAGCCGGGAGGTCGCGGGTTCGAGACTCTTCGGAGTTTCGTGAGATGCGCACTGCTGATGATTCCCAATAAGGATGAATCAGCTGTACAGTGCTTCTCGGCTTTTCAGCATAGATTGGCTTCACTCACAGGACGAAATCTCCACAAAAATCCCAAATCTCCTCACACTACCAACACTGAACAAACTATTGCCGAAAGTCTGTCGCCTCTGGGAATAATCTCGATGTAGCTTGTGGAGGTGTTGCAGTTCCGAGTAATTCTTTATTTGCTTCGCCAAGAATCAATATCCAATTCTTGAAGAACCTCACATGCAGAAAAATCATTAGTGAAAGTACTTGGCCCGCATGTCCTCTGTGTGCTGTCTACGTTGTCAGTGCTTTGGTACTTCACCACAATCCTCCGAACACGCTATCGGCCGCACTCCGGCGGTAACTGGATTGAACCAAAGCGTAATGTAATGTAACCGCACAATCCATGGATCATCACTCTCTGTAACCGTCATTATGGTGCCGAGTGAATCAGGTTATCGTGGACGGTGGTCACTGTGACAATAGCTTCCACCCCCAATGAACGAGACCGTGAAGCACCCAACGGAGTATGACTACCACTGACACTTAGCCTACCTCGCTACAGTAGGCCTGTTACCCCCTGAGTTCAACAGAATGTGGGCACAACACCGCGTTCCCATACCCTCAATGACGCTGGACGCCATCATTCAATCTTTCAATTTTCGAATTGCCCAAACGAGACCACAGTTCCATATTTGGGTCACGTGTCTCATTGACTATCCACTACAAAGTGGAGAGGATGCTCAGGGCTAACGACGGTGCAGTGAGTGGCCTGGGAAGATTGATCACGTGTTATTTGAATATCACCCAGACATGTTTCCGTTCATGTGATCTCAATTCTCCTGCGCATATCACTTCCCCCTAAGTAACTGATGTTGCGTCCCAATCAATGGTTATAAAGTGGACGACCAAGCGGCGGTTCTACTGGGGTCCGCTGAGATAGTCGCCGCATAAGCTTGTCACTTGCGAAGTGTGATTAAAACGGCTGTAACGGCGTCTAAAAATTACCAAAAAGATAGGGGGCAACTCCGGGGACATTGAAGAAAATTGTTTCACGCTTACTTCCGAATATGTATACACACTAGCTAGAGTTGACTTAATATTGTTGTCTGTTGTATGCTGGTGAAGACCCGTGCATTCTCATGTGTCAGGTTGCCCGGGAAGTAAAAAACTTCATGATTTCAGCCCCGATCGCATGATACACACTGAGCTGGGCTGGTAACTACACTACACCGATTCTTTCATAGTTCCTCTCTTACTGATATCCGTCATTCTCTCTCTCTCTCTCTCTCTCTCTCTCTCTCCGCACACATCGTCTCTTCATCTCATTATATCTCGGATGATATACTAGGTAAATTACTCCTGGGAAAACTCGCGACAGTGTCCTGATCATGGATACTCCTGAAAGCCCATAATTTGTGCACTTTCCAAGGTGCACAGTGTTGTTGTCGTGTAGGACGGGAGATTGCACACAAGCGGAAAACAGTGGCATCCAACAAACGTAACCTTATCAGGGAATATGACGGTCGTTGCCTGAATCGCTTCACCACTTTTCGGTTTTGGCTTGTTTATCGATCAGTAGTCCGCGCCACCGATGCGTTCAACTAAGTGCGTGNTTGTCGTTGAGACGGGAGATTGCACACAAGCGGAAAACAGTGGCATCCAACAAACGTAACCTTATCAGGGAATATGACGGTCGTTGCCTGAATCGCTTCACCACTTTTCGGTTTTGGCTTGTTTATCGATCAGTAGTCCGCGCCACCGATGCGTTCAACTAAGTGCGTGCGTGCTTGCGTGCGTGTATGTGCGCATGGGCTTCATGTACGCGCGCCCGTGCTTACGTAGGTGCAGAACACTACCAGATCAATATCAGATTCCTGTTCGTAGGCGTTCGAACCTTCATGCGGTACACCTTCCGTTCGTAGTCTGTTTTTCCTCAGATGCTGAATACCTGTGCTGCACGGGCGGTGGGACGGGGGTAAGTAGGAAGCAAGAAGAAGCAATGTGGAACGCACTGCATGCTACGCGCATGTTTTGCCAGCCTATCGTCGTCACATAGCAGTGTGGGTAAGAACTGGGCGCAGCAATTCATCGATTGTTACAACACCTACCTTCGGATTAGCCAATCAGCAATGCTCTGCCCGGTTAGGCATACCCTTTAAATATCAACTTTAGGACCATCAGTCCAGTGTGGTGCAGTGCCTCTTCGTTCGTAACTTTCGTGATCGTGTTGGATTTGAACAGCCCACTTTTGGATTAAATCAATCTGTATTGTGTTCAACAACAGACTGTCCTTGGAGGTAAGTACTTCGACAAATATTGATAACGTAACACTGATTGTACCATCTTAAACTGAGCCTGAGAGTCCACCTCATAAGTGAGGTCAGAGATACTCTTTGTTTTCAGACGTCGTTTTCCCAGACGCTAGCCGCATAAATCCTATCTCTCTTTGACGCACTGCAGACAACTTCTGAGCCATGGAACCGAATGATCCAGATTTCAAGTACCTTGGCGTCGATCGCAAGGCACTGTTGAAGGAACTAGCCAACTTCGACTCCAAGAATGTCATCTGGGTCGAAGACGAAAAGGAAGGTTATATCCTGGCTGATATTGTGGAGACGAGTGGAGATACAATTACTGTCAAATTGAAGGATGGTGTGGTAAGTCAGAGTTGCACAGATATTTTTTGTCAAGGATTAACCTATGTTATATTCATAGAGTAATTTTATTCGAGATTTTAAGGAATGCACTTATTCCACCTCGTCGGAACCCTGACCAGAAATACGATTCTCCAGCTGTTCAGTGTAGGGTTCGTCAAGGTGAAAACTCTATCATTAAGCTTCAGTTAGTTGAAATTCCGAATTCATTCCTAAGGTAAACAGACATTTCTCCTGAGTTCACTGTTTACTGACAAAGTCTTGGGTCTTCTGACCCCGTTGATCTGTTTGTTAAGTAGTACCTTGGTAGCCTCCACTGCGTCCTTTGACCTTATGCTAGTTCAAGGGTTAGGATACAAGGTGAGAGTTGAAATCCAATATCAGTCTACTGATTGTTTCCGTTTGGGCCCACTTCGGGTGGCATGGCAAACTTTGGAGAATTTTCAATGGCTTTGCGGTTATCCAATGCTCCTCCCCCTACGCACCTATTTACCTGCTTCAGGAAAAGAAAGTCAAGAAGGATGATGCCCAACAGGTCAACCCTCCGAAATTCTTTTTAATCGAAGACATGGCCAACTTGACCTTCTTGAATGATGCCTCCGTCTTAGAGAACCTACGAGCCCGATACTACCGACAACTCATCTATGTAAGTCTTGGAGTCTGTGTTGCTTCTCAGACAGGGTCAAAGTCATTTATACATGCGTCACGATATACCCATGGACAGGTGCCTGATCAATGTTTTCGCACCGGCATTCTCTTGTGTTGTTTTCTCTTCCGTAGACCTATTCTGGACTGTTCTGCGTCGCCGTTAACCCGTACAAGCGGTTTCCAATCTACACGGCGCAAGTTGCATTGAAATACAAAGGCAAAAGACGATCTGAGATGCCTCCGCATATTTTCTCAATCTCAGACAATGCCTATCACAACATGTTGCAAGGTGAGTGTTCGAATTCAATCGTTTAAAACCGCAGCCGGTGCTTGGTGAAAGCTAGACCAACTCTGCTCCACTTTCTCCCTGTTTTTTTTCATTCTAGATCGTGAAAATCAGTCCATATTGATTACGTAAGTGATACTGTTGTATTCAGACCGAAACCAAGGTCAACTAAAAGTCTGTTTTCTCTGAGAAGCCTGGCTAATAACTGTTTCTCCATTGCTCCTATTACTTACCAGCGGAGAAAGCGGTGCCGGTAAAACGGAGAATACGAAAAAAGTCATCTCTTACTTTGCTATTGTTGCCGCCGCTCCCAAAAAGGATGATGATGAATCTAGCAAGAAGGTGAGCATAGAAACTTTCAATTCTGAAGTTCATGAATTCCCTCCGTTCTCTCTATTCACTCCACAAAACACAGAACATTGTGTCTAAGTCATCAGCTAGTTTCTATGCAAACATTATTTCCTGTGAAAAAGATGACTGCATTTTCTTCTGATGGACTTGAGTAGTAATCTATCCCTCTCTACTCTCCACAGGGAAGTTTGGAAGATCAGATCGTCCAGGCCAATCCTGTTCTTGAAGCCTACGGTAATGCCAAAACAACCAGGAACAACAATTCCTCCCGATTCGTAAGTTAATCGATGTGTTCACGTAATACACTTATTATACAGGGTAAATTCATTCGAATTCACTTTGGGACAACGGGAAAAATTGCTGGAGCCGATATTGAACATTGTAGGTCTTGCAATTTGTCATGCAAGTGTTCTAATCATCACTTCCATACTAGACCTGCTCGAGAAGTCCCGCGTCGTGTCTCAGATGAAAGGAGAACGAAATTATCACATTTTCTATCAGCTTCTGTCTGATTACGGGAAAAAATATCACGGTGAGTCGTGAATACAGGTTGGTCTTGGCCAAAATCATCCCATAACTGGAAGGGAAACTCATTGATGAATGGGTTTCAGGTCGTCTTGGTTAGTATTTCATTTCGATTCAAGATACATACAGTGGGTTTTAAAACCACACGCCCTGATAGCAATCACATAAATTAACGAAGCCTTTTACTAATGCTCATTTTTACGACTACTTCGCGTTCACAGACAAACTCCTGGTAGCTGCTGACCCCGGATTGTACTCGTTCATCAATCAAGGTGAACTCACAATTGATGGTGTGGATGACAGCGAAGAAATGCGCCTTTGCGATGTAAGTTTCCGACAGCAGGGATTCACATGACTTGTCACACCACGTTTGGCCACTGAGCACACGCCTAATGTCTGCTTTAATGGTTGGTATCTTTAGTACTTAACTCGGAACTGCATATCCTTGGTCTCATTATTTATCCACCTTATCTGACAACTACATAACTAATTCGCATTTCTTTTTTCGTTTAAATGAATCAGTCATTATTCCCCATACTTCCGTTTCACTTGGTTGAGGCCTATTTTTCACCCGCTGTCCAGAAGACTTAATTTGGAGCTACTGGTAACTATGAAGTAGTATGAATTAACTTGACAAATATTGTTGGTTGCCGCCTTTCAGGAAGCCTTCGAGGTTCTCGGTTTCTCAGAAGAGGAGAAAATGTCCCTCTACAAATGCACAACTTCAATCTGCAACTTGGGTGAAATGAAATTCAAACAGAGACCAAGAGAAGAACAGGCCGAAGCCGATGGCACCGCTGAATGCGAGAAAGTTGCTTTCCTGCTTGGTGTGAACGCTAAGGATTTGATGACCTCTTTCCTTAAGCCGAAAGTCAAGGTCGGGACGGAGTTTGTCACCAAAGGGCAGAACTTGAATCAGGTGAGTTTTATTATGATACCAGAACCGTTTTAGGGTGCATCAGCCCGTAACCCCTTGACAGTGTCATTCTTTGTCGTTCTGACTACCGGTCTATCGTGTTTGAACCTGTAGGTCACGTATGCCGTCAGTGCCTTGGCCAAGTCTCTGTACAATCGCATGTTCGGCTGGTTGGTTGCCCGTGTCAACAAGACCCTAGACACCAAAGTAAAGCGCCAATTCTTCATTGGTGTGCTGGATATCGCCGGCTTTGAGATTTTCGACGTGAGTCTCTTATTCATTTTCGACTTTGAGTTTATCGTGTTTCCCACCCTAACTACTTAATTATAACGGCAGCATGATGTACAGCTCCATGACTGTTATTTACTCACAACCATCACCGATTTTTATTGATTTTTGTTTAGGAAAACGGCTTTGAACAAATTTGCATCAACTATACCAACGAACGTTTGCAACAGTTCTTCAACCACCACATGTTTGTGCTGGAACAGGAAGAGTACAAGCGCGAGAAAATTCAGTGGACATTCATCGATTTTGGCATGGATTTGCAAGCTTGTATCGATCTGATTGAAAAGGTGGGTTATGCTTTTCATCTTGTTTAGAGTTATCTTTGGGATCCCAATGTTAGGGGACTATTCGTATCTGACAGAAAAGGCCTAGGTCTTATTCATTCTCTTTTATTCCAGCCTATGGGTATCCTGTCCATCCTGGAAGAAGAGTGCATCGTGCCCAAGGCTACTGACCAGACATTCTTGTCCAAATTATACGACAACCATCTCGGAAAGAGTCCAAACTTCACCAAGCCCAAACCACCAAAAGCCGGTCAGAAGGAAGCACATTTCGAGCTTCACCACTACGCCGGATCTGTAAGTTCACTTTCATTCAAACCGATGTATTTTAATCTCCGTCGTTAGACGTTAGACCTCAAGTTGAATCTAACAGTTACTTTGGTGATTCATACCCGTAACCTCTTGTTCTTCCACAAGGTACCCTACACCATCACTGGCTGGTTGGAAAAGAACAAAGATCCGCTGAACGACACTGTGGTGAACTTGCTCGGAGGCAGCAAAGATGCACTCGTGTCGCAACTGTTTGTTCCAGTAGTTGGTACGTTGTTTTTAAACCTAAATGCCAGTGAAAAATGCCCCTTTACGTTATATTCACTTCATTTTTGAATCTTAATTGCTTTGCACCACATAGTAAGGCCTCCAGTTGCAGCGATTGACTCTGAAGTTAAAACGACTGAGATGTGAACCGGAAACTACTGAACATAGACCTCATACAATGGGATTATTCCTGCATCATTTGTTCCACTTTTTCCCAACTGTAGCTGTTCTGCTGGTATACGTGATGGCTTTGATGCGCCAAAAACATCGGCATCTATGTTCTTTACTCAGTATTCAACCGCTTTCTATCATAAGTCCAGAGCTATATGTGGTCATATGCCTGACCTAGCGGAGCCCATTGATAACTGGCGAACCTTCCTAAAGTTGAACTGAGTGCTTCTCCTGTATACCAGCGCGCATTTGTCGCGTCTAGTTTTAAAGGCTAAAGATATTCCATACAACTTCACCATTAAAATCAGTGGTCACTTTTTCCACCCTCACGAGTGTGTCAACTGTGTCTTAGGTCTGAAACACAAAAGTGGACATTTACTGTCCCAATTCCTAAGACTTAGACAACTTCATCAGCATGGGAAGAATGCGTGACATCAACGAGGGAGTCTCGCTCCCTTCCCAGCTTCCCACCTTTATCGATGAATGAAGATATCTACCATATTTCAAGATCAAAACTCTCAGCCAGTTTGAATGTGCCAGTGCAGGGGGTACAAACAGAAATCCACCACTTTGTTTGCTGTTTTTTTGCGATTCATTCTGCCGATACAGATGAACTGGACTGCACCAAGCGAACAGGATGTTTTGCGGAACAACTACCCTTTGCACACACGCGCGTTGCTGCATGATATGAACTACAGCAGATGCATTGTTCAATCCTAATAAGGGAGTGGTAAAACTTCCGGAAGTGAGAGAGTACTAATCAGAGCTTTCTGAACTTGCATTCCCCATCTAGATAAATTTCTTCACATACTGGAATCAGGTTTCAAAGAAACTAGGTCATAGACTGAACGCATTCATTTGCAAACAATGGGTCTCATCAGAGTCCCACCCTACCTAATGGCTGGCCAATTTGGCGAAATCTGTCGCGCACATGTCAGACGGTTTTTAGCAACCACGAAAGTAGTATGTTTAGCCACAATTCTAGGACTTATGAATGTCCGCTTCTGTTTTCGACAAATCAATTTGATCGGAGAGTTTTCAGCAACCTTATGAGTAGTTTTCATTCCTGTTCGTTTGTTAACAATACCACTAACACTGTTATTGCCTCCACCAGCTGAATCGGGCAAAAAGACCAAGGGTGGCTCTTTCTTGACGGTGTCGTTCATGCACAGGGTAATTTGATCATAAGATGCGTTTGAATGAGCAGATCATCGCGCCCAAACACACACGCGCGTGCACACTCTGAGCTTCGTGCGGCATTCTCATTTGTTTTGTGTCTGTCTGGTTATGCGTGCGCTGCACCGGTTGATTGACCCTCAGTTATTACTACTAAACGACCGCTCGTTCTGGTCACGCTGATGTGTCTTCATACTGTGAAACTTCATCGCATGCATGGCTGACAATAAAGGCTTTGTTTACACTTCTTCCAGCTGTCCAGCCACATTTGCGTTAGGGCGATAATATCTTTCAGAAACCATACACATAAGGTCAAACAGTCCACGTTTTCATCTTGAGAAACCCATCACAGTGGTGTTGTTTTTCGTGTAATTTTGACGACTAATCCGTCTGCTTCTGCCTCTTTCACACTTGTTTCTTGTTATAAAGACGAAAAAGGTGGACGCAAAAAGGGCGGCTCTATGCAGACCATCTCATCCGTGCACAGGGTATACCAAAGTTTGGATGGTTGTAGCCGCCTAGAGTAGTTAGCACTAGTTGCTAGACTAGTTTGTAGTGATTGTGCTTCGTTTTCTTTTCCTCCCGGGGTTTGTGTGTTGCTTGCATTTTGGAAAAACATGTGCGTGTCTTGCTGATTTTTTTGGGGGTAGATTTTTCGCACGGTAGCAAGATTTACCGGTTTAGTACTGAACTAAGATCTAGTAGACAAAGTAACTGGTAGTGTGATGTATGTAGTTACCGGGGAGCTTAAGGGCAGTGTTAAAACACTGAATAACTGTTGACAGGTAGGTAGTTCTACCTAGACACCATAATATTTCTGTACTGCACTCGGAATACTTGTGTGTCATCGCAGCCCACTATACATTGCTACGTTCTTCTGGATATTGCATGGCACACTGCATATTGTGTAAACTATATGTCAGCATGCAGCCCGCTTGACGACAATCAGATTTCCAAAGCATAACACGTAGTTTTTGTCAATTAGGAACGTGAATGTTCAACAAACTGCTCAATATGCTCACCTTTTCATTGGTCCGAATAGGAATCATTGAATAAACTGATGAAGAACTTGCATAGCACCAGCCCACATTTCATTCGTTGCATTGTGCCAAACGAATTCAAACAACCTGGTAAGTGCATCCTCCGAGATGACCATTCTATCTTCACCTCTGTTCTACCCTCCCACCATTTTCCAGACCTGAATGAAATTTTGTTCGCATTCCTTCTATTCAGGTGTTGTCGATGCTCACTTGGTGTTGCATCAGCTCCACTGTAACGGTGTATTGGAAGGTATCCGTATTTGCCGGAAAGGCTTCCCAAACAGAATGATCTATTCGGAATTCAAACAACGGTGAGTAGGTTGTGCCTGATATTCCGAGTACCTTCAAACCTAATCCACTGAGGTAGGCCACAAACTATTCCAGACAAGTTTTGCCGAACTCGTTCACTCCGCAGAATATAACTTGCATATCTTACTAATTCTTACCACGACAGATACTCCATCCTCGCTCCAAATGTGATTCCCGAAGGCTTCGTGGATGGGCGACAAGTGACTGAGAAAATATTGGAAGCCACAAACTTGGACAAGTCGCTTTATCAATGCGGCAACACGAAAGTTTTCTTCAAAGCCGGAACATTGGCCAGTCTGGAAGATATGCGTGATGAGAAGTTGAATGTGATCATTGCGTTGTTCCAGGCCGAAATTCGTGGTTACCTAATGAGGAAACAGTACAAGAAGCTGCAAGATCAACGGTGAGTGCGGCATATGCCGTAGGCCTTCTTGATCTGTCGCCGCGGCGCAACGAGGCGTGGTGGTAGCTGGCATTTATAACACTATTTACTCATCAATTAAGTAGTATAAATTTAAAGTCATCTACAATCTCCCCTTTGACCTCTAGAGTTGCATTGACCCTGATGCAGCGCAACATCCGTAAATATCTGATGCTCCGTAATTGGCCATGGTGGCGTCTGTATGCAAAGGTCAAGCCGATGTTGAATGTTGCTCGACAGGAAGAGGAAATGAAGAAGGCAGCTGAGGAACTGGCCAAACTCAAGGAAGAATTCGAGAAACTGGAGAAGCTCAAGAAGGAATTGGAGGAACAGAATGTGACAGTGCTACAGCAAAAGAATGACCTATTTCTGCAGCTCCAGACAGAACAGGACAGCTTGGCTGAGGCCGAAGAGAAGATCTCCAACTTGGTCCTTCAAAGAGGTGACTTGGAAACCAGAATCAAAGAACTGGAAGAGCGACTTGCTGATGAAGAGGATGCTAACAGTAACCTGAATGAGATGAAAAAGAAGCTTAATGCTGAAATCGATGAACTGAAGAAAGATGTGGAAGATCTGGAATCCTCTTTGCAGAAAGCGGAGCAAGAGAAGCAGACTAAGGACAACCAAATCCGTACACTTCAAGGTGAAATCGCCCAACAGGATGAACAGATCACAAAGCTAAACAAGGACAAAAAAGCCCTGGAGGAACAGAATAAACGAACTCAAGAAGCCCTCCAAGCGGAAGAAGACAAAGTGAACCATCTGAACAAACTGAAGGCCAAGCTGGAATCAACCTTAGATGAGGTAGGATATGGTGGATATTCATGATTTCCGTTCAAAACTTACCTAAGAGAAAGTCCCCTTCACTTTTCAGTCCAAACAAGATTTTATTGACTTAAGGCTGTCTTTGTATGGACCAAGAGGTTCCAGGTGTTCGAGGTATTTTACGATGACGCAGCTGAAGTTACATAAATTTTGAGATAAAAGTATACCTACACGTCCCTTCTCCCACATTCAGATGGAAGAAAACTTAGCTCGTGAACAAAAGGTCCGAGCCGATGTGGAAAAAGCCAAACGAAAACTCGAGGGCGACTTAAAGGCTACCCAAGAGACTGTGGACGATTTGGAGCGTGTGAAGCGTGACTTGGAGGAGCAGCTGCGACGAAGGGAAGTCGAAATCGGCGGTCTGAACAGTAAGTTCGAGGATGAACAGAGCATCGTCGCTCAGTTACAGCGAAAGATCAAAGAATTACAAACCCGAATCCAAGAGTTGGAAGAAGATCTTGAAGCCGAACGTGCTGCTCGATCAAAGGCAGAAAAAGCCCGACAGCAGGCAAGTCACGTTTTTTTTCCTGGCACTGAGCGTAAAACTAAGAGGCTCATCACTAAAAGCGTTTGCCTGACTCCACATACTCATCAATAGAATTATTCATATTTTACTTCCTAGGTCGAGGCAGAACTTGAAGAGGTGGTCGAACGTTTGGAGGAACAAGATGGTGTCAACGCCCAACAAGTTGATCTGACCAAGAAGCGTGAGAGCGAACTGATGAAACTCAAGCGAGATTTGGAAGATGCTCGTGCACAGAATGAACAAGCTATTGCCGCGATGCGCAAGAAACAAAATGACTCTGTCAATGAAATGGCCGATCAACTGGACCAGCTGAACAAGGCCAAAGCAAAGTAAGATTTTCCATGTTGTCTCCAGTGCGGACATATTGACCTCATTTAAACAAAAATGGCATAGTTTTCTCCCAACAATCTAACCCAACTCCAAACCGCTTACGCCGTATCATTTACTCTCTCCTAAAGGGCTGAGAAGGAACGTAATCAGTTCAAGGCCGAAGTTGACGATCTCCACTCTCAGTTGGAGAGCCTGTCCAAAGCGAAGGTAAGTTTAGTGTCTACGTTTGGTAGGACCTGCTTGACACAGTTTCCGCTTGACGCTTAAATTCTCTCATAATGTCTTGCTCCAGATGAACGCAGAGAAGAACACCAAGGGTCTGGAAACACAGATCCAAGAACTCCATGCGAAACTTGATGAGACAACCAACCAACTGAGTGAACAGGCCTCTGGTAAGGCACGAAACAGTCAGGAAAATGCAGAGCTCCAGAGACAACTTGAGGAGGCTGAATCTCAACTGAGCCAGCTTTCCAAAGTGAAACAGCAACTGAGCGCCCAACTGGAGGAAGCTCGACATAGTCTGGAGGAAGAAAGCCGAGTAGGTTTCCATCTACCATTTATGTTAACATGAGTGATAAATATACCGACCTTCAAGCATGAACTCCTTTGACCAACCCCTTTTGACAATCGCTTTGAGACACTGATTGAAAGTGGTGCCGGATGATAAGTGGTAATGATGGAATGTTGAGAACCTAGACCCGTTGGAATGAAATCACAAAATCTCCTTCCCCTTTCCGCTCACAGATGAAAGCCAAACTGAATTCGGAGGTTCGCAATCTCACCAGCGATTTGGATTCCCTGCGAGAATCACTGGAAGAGGAACAATCTGGAAAGGCCGATCTGCAACGTCAGTTGCAGAAGATGCAGGGAGAACTTCAGCAGCTGCGTAGCCGCGGTGGTGGTGGCGATGTCCGTTCAGAGGAAATGGAGGAATTGAAACGACGCTTGAATGGCAAAATCCAAGAGTTGGAGGCCGAATGCGAATCGGCCAAATCCAAGTGTGGTCAACTTGAGAAGACGAAGGCCCGTCTCCAGGGTGAACTGGAAGATTTGATGGTTGATGTTGAGCGAGCGAACGGCATGGCTAGTCAACTTGAACGTAAGCAAGCCAACTTCAATAGAACACTGGCCGAATGGCAGAAGAAATTCGCTGATTCTCAGGTGAGTGCTCGTGATCAGGCAACCTTCCTGCTATTCAATCCAGCCTTAAATTTCCCCTACTTTATTACTAATTTCGGTGTTTTTTTTGTGTAGGCCGAGCTCGAAAACTCTCAGCGTGACGCCCGTAATCAGTCAACTGAGATGTTCCGGTTGAAGGCTCAGTTGGAAGAAGCTCATGAACAAATTGAAGCTGTTCGCCGAGAAAACAAGAATCTCAGTGGTAAGTTCAATGGATTTTGCCTACACTATTATACTATACTATACTATACTATACCAACCAAGTGGGAGAGCGTATGTGATTCATTATTCCCTTCCGTTTCCCACACAGATGAGATTCACGATCTAACCGAGCAACTGGGAGAAGGAGGCCGCTCCGTGCATGAAATCGACAAGGCCCGACGACGATTGGAGATGGAAAAAGAGGAATTGCAGGCTGCTTTGGAAGAAGCCGAAGGTGCTTTGGAACAAGAGGAAGCTAAATTGCAACGAGCCCAGCTGGAAATGAGTCAGGTAAGAAAAGCACCAACTAATTTGAGTTTTACTTTAAACACCTTTCGCATCGATCACTGCATGCGTCCTAATCAACTCTTCCTCTTCTAGGTTCGTCAAGAGATTGACAGACGCCTAGCCGAAAAAGAGGAAGAATTCGAAGCCACGAGAAAAAATCACCAACGCGCTATGGAGTCTCAACAAGCCAGCCTTGAGGCCGAAGCCAAAGGTAAGGCTGAAGCTCTAAGGATAAAGAAAAAATTGGAACAAGACATTAACGAACTGGAAGTCAGTCTGGACGCAGCCAACCGAAACCGCGCAGAACAAGAGAAGAACGTGAAAAAGTTGCAACAACAAGTTCGTGAAGTACAAGGTCAGCTTGAAGATGAACAACGTCAACGAGATGACATACGTGAACAATTCCAGGCCGCCGAACGCCGTGCGAACATGATGTCCGGTGAAATTGAAGAGCTTCGTACCGCTTTGGAACAAGCTGAACGTGGTCGAAAGATGGCCGAGGCCGAACGTGCTGAAGCTGCCGATCGCGCAACAGAGCTGTCAACACAAGCCGCCTCGCTCGCTGCTCAAAAACGCAAGCTGGAAGCTGACTTGGCCGCCATGCAGGTACGTTTCCACTCCTAGCCACTCGCCTCACCAAGTGTACACGCGTGCGCAAAGCATGTTCAGTTCCCAACCACCTCTTTGTATTCTCTTACTCCATTCACCAGGCTGACTTGGAAGAAGCGGCGAATGAAGCTAAGCAAGCAGATGAGCGTGCCAAGAAGGCAATGGCTGATAGTTCCAGAGTGTTTGAGGAGATCCGACAGGAACAGGAGCATACACAACATGTTGAGAAGGCCAGGAAACAGCTGGAGCTACAGGTTCGTCTAATTTTCGATCATACATGCAACCCACACACAGTAATAACTTCACCTAACACACATTGCTATTTTGTGAACTGGTATAGGTGAAAGAGATGCAAGCCCGCCTAGAGGACACCGAGTCTGGAGCGGCAAAGAATGGTCGCAAAGCAGTCGGAAAACTAGAACAACGCGTACGCGAATTGGAAACCGAACTGGAAGCCGAACAACGACGTCATGGCGAGACACTGAAAAATCTACGGAAAGTTGATCGACGAATGAAGGAAATCAGCATGCAGGTAGGTTTGCCAAGTTATCTGGAAGCTTCGCAGAAACGCCTTTATCTGATCTGAGAATTTTTTCGAGAGAATGGTAGCATAATTAATCGGCGTATAGCCATCCAAGAACTTGCAGAACTCAATAACCCATTGGTTGTTAGCCCATTCCTTCACGAGCGTACTCTTCTTCAACCTGCAGAGCGAAGAAGACAAAAAGAATCACGAACGTATGCAAGAATTGGTTGAGAAGCTCCAAGGCAAGATCAAGACTTACAAGCGCCAAGTTGAGGAGGCCGAGGAAATCGCCGCGATCAATTTGGCCAAGTATCGTAAAATCCAGCACGAAATCGAGGATGCTGAGGAGCGTGCGGACCAAGCGGAACAGGCACTGCAGAAACTTCGAGCCAAGAACCGATCTTCTGTGTCTGCAGCCAGAGGCGTCAGCGCTGCACCAGCAGGAGCCGGTCCTGCGGTAAGTTGTGTAACAACCTATGGTATGGGGCAGCCCACACAAGTAGATGCGTCTCACGGATTTTCTGGATCTCATTTTCGTCCAATTGACCTTAATTGTCCCCTCATCCTCTTTCAGAATCGAGCTCGCAAGCCGGCAGCAAGTATGGCGCCTGAGGAAGAATAGGGTATGTTGAATCTGTCCTAGTTTGTCACAACTCTGAATTTCAACCGTCCTTAACCTTAACTTGTTTTCCGTCTGTTGCGTTTGCAGGTCACCAACGCGAACTAAACTTCCAACCCAAGTGATGCGGTCTCTACCATTCTACGACATCCGATCCGCAACCCCGAAATCTGACCTCACACTTTCCCCACTGAACCTTTCACACGTATGCTCCCCCTCTCCCCACCCCAAACACACACGCACCGGATCCGCACCCCTACTCACATACAACCATGGACGTCGCACTCCCTTCTTTTCTTTTGTCGGTTAGTCTACATCTAGTTCCGATTTCGTGTTGCAAAAACAGCGGTAGAAGAGGCACTATGAAGCGAGCAGTGTACAAGAGTGTACAATTCTTAAAGCGGTGTGTGGTGGTACTGGTGGTGATGAAGCGCTCATTGTTCTACGTACTGAATTGGCTGTTCGGTAGTAGTATAATTTGTATGTGAAAATTTAGACGTATCCTATCACGTCTCTGGGATCCAGTGCACCATTGGGTGCACAGACCCACAGGAGCCTATTTGGTGCATTTTCGTTTTGACTAGTTTCGATTTTTGCACGCACAAAAGTAATTGAGCACGTTTTGTCCACCTGATACCCACCTTCCCTGTCTCTCTGCC